GCAAGGAAGTCCCTTTGCAAACCAAGAAGACAGCCCTCACCAGTAATCAAATCCGTGGGCTCCTTTATCATGTACGTCTTAGGCTTCAGAATGTGAAAAATAAATTCCTGTTGTTTAAGCCACCTAGTCCATGGGTGTTATAGCAGGATATTTTGTTATAGCAGCCCAGACTGACTAAGACACCAGCTCTTACCAGCAAAGGTACCCAGTAGTAATTTAAAGATGTTGGTCCTTCTAGAATCATTGGGATTCTTTGTGTGAAGAGTAAAAAGGCCAGGATACCTACATTGAAAAGACAGAATGTGTATATTTTGCATTTGTAAAGGAATATAGCTTTTCATAGTACAGGAGTTTTTCTAAGCACCTTGTAAACTTTTTATTATTTTTATTATTACTTACCTATACACCCAGCAACTAGCATTTTCCCCAGGATGAGTACAAAGTCTGTAACTTTATCCATAATTGCAACTCTGAAAATCAGAAACACACAAAATATAATATTTTGTTTAAGTAACATGTGTTACTTGAAATTTATAAGAGTAAATAATTCATTATTTCATTTTGATATATCTTTGCTTGGTGTTTGGTAAATCCAAAAAATGAAGGTAGAATTCAGGGATGAAGTTCTGACTTATTTTTGATGAAGTCAACAGAAGGCGGCATTGTAGGGCTGTTGGGAGCTATTGGTGGTATCATCCTCCCTAATTTGAGGCCTACAGACATCCTGAAACCTAAGGATGCTGCATTTGTTCTCTGATTTTGTTGCTCAGACTCTGTCGATTTGGGAAGGGGAAAATGGTCAGAGACAGGATGACAATGTTCATGTGGGGAATTTCTTGAGCAGAGGAGATAATAAAAATGAATAAATGCCAATGGGTGTAAAGACATGGATGATGGAAGCAACAATTCTAAGATATAAAAAGAAATGAATGATGTAAGAGAGATTTAAATTTATCAAATTAAAAGACAATGTTCATATCTAAAAAGACCACCAACACTTTAATAACAACATGGAAAGTATGTGATGCTCAAGGTTCACCAAATAATCCATTGCAATGCTCAACTTCATTACTTACTTTAAAATATTTCTTATCAGCAGATTGAAAGCATCTCTTGCTGACCTGCAGAAGCTTTTGCCATGTATTGCAATCTGAGGAAGATAGTTATTATTCTGGAGTCAGTAACGTACCCTAACAAGACCAACAGACAATCCAACAACAGGAAAACAAATTAATTCTGTCATCCATACAGCTACTCTCATTCTTCTTTCCAACATCTGGGTTTGTGGGAGGACTTGAAACTATATGTCCTCAACTCTGCACAATCTTCAGGGTTGTTGACAATAAGGTCTGCTTTAGATACTATACACCCTTAACATCCATGGGTATTAGACAACTTCAAACAGAGGAAGTAGGTCTTTTTCTCAAACTCTAGGACATGGTTTCTCTCTCTGAAATGTTTGGCCAGGGTTTATTGCTGAATGGATTAAATGCTGTAGTGGTCATATTTAAAATTACTTTCAGGAAACCCAATGCCTTTCAATACACTTGATTTACTGATTTAAAGGTACAATACAATATTCTTGCTGGAAGTAAATTAATAACTATTTGAATATCCAGGACTATTTGAATCTCCATGACCATTTGAATCATCCCTGCAAGACCCTGAGTCACTGATAATAATAAGCAAGTGTCATTAGGTTGTGGATGCTAAATTTTAGAATTGTATTTTTGCATACTCTATATTTTAAAATCTCTTTAGAAGACTTTATAGGCAATGCATTTAGTTAGGCACTGTCAATGCCCACACATTTCAACCTAAAATTCATAAAAAGGAACTGACCCTTCCTTAAAAACATGCAAATCCCAGAATTAGAAAGATATTTTCTTCTCAGAGTGAAACATAGACTAGGTAAACCTTCCTCTCACTACACAATGTCAAAGACACGCAAAGTCATTTTCAAACCAGCACATTTTTAAATTTCTAAGGGAAATAATATTTTCCTGCTCCAAAAAGATAGTGAAGGTAATAATGAAATACTATCTCAACTAGGAAAACATAACTCTGAATCATACATTGAATTCACAAATCTTTATATCCACACGGTGATAAATTCAACTGCATGATGTAAACGTGTGTCAAAGATGGAAATGTAGACATGGAGTTTGGGGTTTGCAAAGTAGTAAATAAAAAATAATCTATTTACCATAACATAGGCATTTCTGTTCAAAAACTTCACCACTTTTTCCAAACACCAGAAACAGCATTTCAGGCAGCATTGTAGAAATTTAGAAATGTTGTTCTGAGACTCTATGAGGAGATATTTAAATCTATTAATGATCTGCAACTAAACTCTATGAATCAAAAAAAAAATTAAAAAACTTAAATGGCTTTAAAATTTTTAACTGCAATAAAATATACATAAAATTTACCATTTTAACCATTTTTAAGTATAGAATTCAATAGCATTAAGTACATTTATAATGTCGTGCAACCATCACTATCCATTTCCAAAACTTTTCATTCATCTTAAATAGAAATTCTGTGCCCAATGAAACAATAACGCCTCAATCTTCCCTTCACCATCCCCCATCCTGTTACCTCTGTTACACTTTCTGTCTGTTTGAATTTGCCTCTTCTGGATACTTCATAAGTGGAATTACATAATATTTGTCCTTTTGTGTTTTACTTATTTCACTTAGCATAAAATGTCCAAGGTTCATCATTTCATTCCTTTTTAGAACTGAATAACTTCCCATTGTTTATGTGTGTGTGTATTTATGTGAGTGTATATATGTATGTGTGTGTATATATATATATATGTATGTGTGTACATATATATATATATGTCACATTTTGTTTATCCTTTTATCTGTTAATGAAAATTTGGGTTGTGTCTATCTTTTGGCTACTGTCAATTATGCTGCTATGAACTTCAGTGCTCAAGTATCAGTTCGAATCCTTGCTTTCAATTCTTTTGAGTATGTATGTACCTAGTAGTGAAATTGCTGATCATATGGTGATCCTATTTTTAACCTTTTGAGGAATCGGCATACTTTTTTCCACAGTGGTTATACCATTTTACATTTCTACCAACAATACACAAGGGTTCTAATTTATTCTCACCCTATAAACACTTATTATTTTCCTTTTTTTTTTTTTTTGGTAGTAGTCATTCTAATGGATGTAAAGTGGTACCTCATTGTGGTTTTGATTTGCATTTCCATAGTGACTAATAGTGAGCATCTTTTCATGTGCTTATTAACCATCTGTATATATTGTTTGGAGCAATGCACATGCAAATCCTTTGTGAGAGACCAAGATGATGGTGATACAGGAGGCTCTTGAACTTCTCTCCTCCTGCAGATGTACTAGATGTACAGCTACACATGGAGTAATCTCCTCTAAGAGAAATCCAGAAACTAGCTGAGTGATTTCTACACATTAGGCAACCAAGAAAATACCCACATTGAAATAAGTAGGAAAGGCTGAGGTACATTCCCCTTAAACCTTAACCCACACACAAGATCATACAATTGAGATGATATATCCTATCCTCAGCTTCTCCCTGAGTGAAGGGTTTGGACAGTACATCTAGGATTCCAACTTTTAAGGCTCCCACCCAAGGAATGGGTCCTCAGAACACTTAGCTCTGAAAGCAAATAGGTCTTGCATTCATGAGTCCGACAGGACTATAGAAAACAAAAAAGAAGTCTTATTTGTTTGTTTGGTTGGTTGGTTTGGTTTGTGACTTTTATTTTATTTTATTTTTTAAATTTTAACAAATATTTTTATTTTTTATTCTTTTATTTTTTTACATTTTACCCTTTTATTTTTTCCCTTCCCCCTACCCCCCTCCCTTCTGGTAACCACTAGTCTACAGTCCATGTCCATGAGTCTCTGTTTGTTTGCCCTGTTCATTTGTTGCTTTTAGATTTATATCCCACATATAAGTGATATCATATGATTTTCAACTTTTTCTGTCTGGCTTATTTCGCTTAGTATGACTATTTCAAGGTCCATCCATGTTGTTGCAAATGGCAGTATTTCATCTCTTCTTACGGCTGAGTAATATTTCATTGTATATATGTACCACAGCTTCCTCAGCCATTCTTCTATCATAGAACACTTCGGTTGCTTCCATGTCCTGGCCACTGTGAATAATGCTGCTATGAACACTGGAGTGCAAATATCTTTTCAGATATCGGAGGCATTCTTTAAAAATATTTTCCCATTCGGATAGTTGTCTCTTTACTTTGTTGAGGTTTCTTTTGCTGAGCAGAAGCTTTTTAGTTTGATGTAGTCCCATTCATTTATTTTTGCTTTTACTTCCCTTGCACTTGAGGTCAAATTCATAAAATCCTCTTTAAGTCCAAGGTCCATGAATTTAGTTCCTATGCATTTTATTGTTTCAGGTCTTATATTCAGGTCCTTAATCCATTTTGAGTTGATTTTAGTGTGTGATAGACAACAGTCTAGTTTCTGCATTCTTTTGCAGGTGGTTTTCCAGTTTTCCCAGCACCATTTACTGAAGAGGATTTCTTTCTCCAATGTATGTTTTTGGCTCTTTTATCGAAAATCATATGCTCATATAAATATGGGTTTACTTCTGGACTCTCAGTTCTGTTCCACTGGTCTGTGTGTCTGTTTTTCTGCCAATACCATGCTGTTTTCATTACTGTCACTTTGTAGTATAATTTGAAGTCGGGCAAAGCAATGCCTCCAGCTTCGTTCTTTTTTTTTCTCAGGATGGTTTTGGCAGTTAGGAGTCTTTTGCGCTTCCATACAAATCTGAAGATTTTTTGTTCTATTTCTTTAAAAAATGCCAATGAGATTTTGATGGGGATTGCATTAAATCTGTATAATGCTTTAGGTAATAAGGTCATTTGAACTATGTTGCTTCTTCCAATCCAAGAGCACAGAATATTTTTCCATTTCTTTGTATCTTCTTTGATTTCTTTTAATAAGATCTATAGTTTTCATTATATAGGTCCTTCACATGTTTCATTAAATTTATTCCTAGGTTTTTATCTTTTTGTTGCAATTGCAACAGGAATTACTTTTTCCACTTTTTTTTCTGACACTTCATTATTTGGGTATAGGAATGCTATGTATTTTTGACATTGATTTTATATTCAGAAACTTTACTATATATATTTGCTTATTGTTTCTAGTAGTTGCAGAGTCTTTAGGGTTTTCTATATAGAGAATCATGTCATTCGTAAATAGTGACAGTTTGACTTCTTTGTTTCCTATTTAGATACCTTTTATATCTTTCTGATTGCACTCGCTAAGACCTCCAGTGTTATACTGAATAACAGTGGTGATAGTGGACAGCCTTGCCTCGTTCCTGATCTTAGAGGCAAGGGGT